ACATACTAGACATCATTTCCATAGAGGATGGACAACCGCCACTCAACAGTTCCCTTCAGCCAGCCCCGCTGTGGTGGTCTAGTGGCTAAGGTACTCGGCTGCTGACCCGCAGGTCGCGGGATCGAATCCCGGCTTCGGCGGTTGCATTTCCGATGGAGGCCCATTTGCTCAGATTTGGGTGTAGGTTGAAAAACCCCAGGTGGTCAAAATTTCCGGAGTCCTCCACTACGGCGTCTCTCATAATCATATGGTGGTTTTGAGACGTTAAACCCCACATATCATCCTCCCTTCAGTCATACTTATGTACAAAGCTGCATGGGTCTAGCACGAGCACAGTTATTGCGGTAAACAGGTATTCGTGGACCACGTTCTTCGCATGTCGTAGACGAGAAGCCCATAAATACCCAGCCTTTAGAGCATCCTGACCATCAAAGGCGAGGCATGCGCTATCAGTAACAGCACTGCTTATCACTCTCAAGTCTTATGTACTAGTGAAAAAGGAGGAAGTATGAGACAGCATGCAGTCGTTATGAAGGCGTAGATAGCAGTTTAAAATAAAAACAGAAGCTTGTAAGAAGCGAGAAAGGAAAGAATAGCGAAGGCGGACATGATCGTAACGCACAAGTTAGGTTACTACGGATCTTCATCCTGTTTCTAAAAGGATGCTAATAAAATCATCATTATAATCTGGTGTTGTTCGAACCTACCGCTATACCCCCGGCATTATGCTGTAGCATGATTTCTCTCAAATTTACCTACCCGTCTCCATGTGGCACAGGCCCGACTTGCTGTCTAAGGGTGGCCAGACGTTCTCTCGGAAATTTTGTTCGTTAAGTACCCCGTAATTGTAACACTGAATCGACACTAAGCTTTCTTCACAACGGTCGTTAAAAGAAAGTACGCTTCATGGTTGTTTGACAGTTTTTCATGGTTTCTTGATGGTAAATATTAAACGGAGATATCCCTAATCGGTTTCATTGAAGAGGTTACAAGAGATCCATCCCGACGTTGAATATAGGTTTTCTACATGGGGGAAAGTTGGCGGAATTCATTACGCTGTGAGAGATCAACAGAGCAAAGTCTTTGCACGCCTGCGCGCGGCTGTTACTCGTCTATTGGCGAGTTTTTTTGTCTATTATATTGAACTACCAAGATGCCTCGGTTAAAACAGTTATTCTAAATTACTTTATTACTCGTCTGATAATCTGCTAGAGTCAAATGGGAAACCATTTTTTTGGTGGATGTAATTTTAACGAAATTTATAAGAATTGAATTGAACCTTCCGCCGAAAATAAAAACTACGAAGAAAGTTTCTATACGATTTTAGCTTATTGTAAATATTACTGTAAAGAAACGTATCCTCAAAATTTATAGGCATTTGTTTGTGAGGTTTAACGTCCCAAAACCACCATATGATTATGAGAGACGCCATAGTGGAGGGCTCCATAAATTTCGACCACCTGGGGTTCTTTAACGTGCACTCAAATCTGAGCACACGGGCCTACAACATTTCCACCTCCATCGGAAATGCAGCCGCCACAGCCGGGAATCGAAACCGCGACCTGCGGGTCAGCAGCCGAGTACCTTAGCCACTAGACCACCGCGGCGGGGCACAAAATTCATATGCAAGCAATGCTTCACCTACAACTGGCACTGACCCTGATGGCACCCCACCAGCATTGATAGAAGTCGGAAAAGCCTTAGAGAGCATGCAAAGAGGCAAAGCTGCTGGTGAGGATCAGGTAAAATCAGATCTGCTGAAAGATGGTAGACAGATTGTGTTAAAAAAACTAGCCTCCCTGTTTACAAGGTGTCTCCTGACGGGAGGAGTACGAGAATCTTGGAAGAATGCTAACATCATCCTAATACATCAGAAAGGAGATGACTAGGACTTGAAGAATTAAAGGCCGATCAGCTTGCTCTCCATTGTATACAAGCTATTTTCAAATGCAATTGCTAACATAGTTAAAGCAACATTAGAATTCAATCAACCAAAGGAACAAGCAGGAGTTCGAAAAGGCTATTCAAGAATCGACGACATTCATACTATCAATAAGGTGATAGAGAAATGCTCAGAATACAGCCAAGCACTATACATAGCTTCCATTGATTACGAGAAGGCGTTTCATTCACTACAGAATCATCACCAGTGATGTAGACACTGGGGAATCAGGGCGTCGATGAAGCATATATAAACATCCCGGAAGAAATCTACAGGGATCAACTGCTACCATAATTCTTCATAATGAAAGCAACAGAATGCCAATAAAAAAGGGTGTAAGGCAGGGGAACACAATCTCTCCAATGCTATTTACAGCGTGCTTACAGGAGGTTTTCAGAAACCTAGAATGGGAAAAGTTAGGGATAAGAGTTAACAGATAAGTAGGTTAACAATCATGCGCTTCGCCGATGACGTTGCATTGCTGAGTAACTCAGGGGACAAATTGAACTCATGATTACGGAATTAGACAAGGAGAGCAGAGAAGTAGATCCTAACATTAATCTGCAGAAAACGAAAGTAATGTACAACAACCTTGGAAGAGAACAGCGCTTCGAGATAGGTAATAGTGCACTTGAAGTTGTAAAAGACTATACGTCTATTTAGGACAGGTAATAACCGCGGAGCCGAACCACGAGATAGAAGTAACTAAAAGAATAAGAATGGAGTGAAGCACATTTGCAAGCACTCTACAATACTTCATCGTCAATAGCTATATTCAATGTTATGAAATGTGAAACATTTCTTTGCGAACTTCGGTGACATTATTCGTATCTATCTATCTATCTATCTATATCTATCTATCTATCTATCTATCTATCTATCTATCTATCTATCTATCTATCTATCTATCTATCTATCTATCTATCTATCTATCTATCTATCTATCTATCTATCTATCTATCTATCTATCTATCTATCTATCTATCTATCTATCTATCTATCTATCTATCTATCTATCCGCCTACGACTATTAGCTCTCGTGGCCGTTTCAATTGTTGAATCTATACCACAATTGTTATGGTGCAACATGACTGTATGACAATCATAAGTAAGTAATCATATCATGAAAAGCATACCATGTATGTCTTGAATGTCATGATTTACATGGCATGGTCTTGTGGCTGTTGCGGTGGTTTCGTTCACATGACATATTGCAAAACTGGTATGGTATTACATGACTTCATGACGAACGTTAATGGCAAACCCTAACGTGGAAGTCATGGCATGCATGTCATGTAAGTCATGACTACACTCCATACGCTCATGGTGCGCTCGCGGTTGTTTCGCTAGCTTGACATATACCAAATTTAGTATTACGTGCCGTGAATGAATGAAGGAGGTCTATGACTGCTGCAAACACGATAATCATGACGTGCGTGTTATGTAAGAACATGACTACATACCACGCTCATGATGTGCTCACGGATATTTCGCTAGCTTCAAACATACCAAATTTGGTATTACGTGACTTGAATAGAGGATGAAGGTAAATGACATGTCAAAACATGATAATCATGACATGCGCGTCATGTAAAACATGACTACATGCTACGCTCATTACGCGCTCGTTGCTGTTTCGCTAGCCTCACATATACCAAGTCTGGTATTACGTGACTTGAATGGACGACGAAGGTAAACTACATGTACGAACACGATAATCCTGATATGCGCGTCATTTAAAACTTGACTACCTGCTACGCTCATAGCGCGCTCGCAGCTGCTTGACTAGCTTCACATATACCAAATTTCGTATTACGTGAGATGAACAGATGATGAAGATAAATGTCATGTCCAAACATGATAACTACGACATGCGCGTCATGTAAAACATGACAACATGGTACGCTCATAGCGCGCTCACAGCCGTTTCGCTAGCCTCACATATACCAAGTTTGGTATTACGTGACGTGAATGCGTGACGAAGGTAAATGACACGCCCAAACATAATCATGACATGCATGTCCTGTAAAACATGACTACCTGCTGCGCTCATAGCGCGCTCGAAGCTGTTTCGCTAGCTTCACATATACCAAGTTTTGTATTAGGTAACGTGAATTGACTATGAACCGAAATGTCAGGCGCAAACATGATAATTATGGTATCGAAGTCATGTATGGCATAATTTACATGCTACAACTACTGGTGCTCGCATTGCAAACGTTAGTGATGCCGTCGTTACGCTGCTATAAACAACGTACTTGCATCTTATTTAGATACGTTAGTGAGCATAACGTTTCTACTTGTGTTTACTCTGTACTACGTTCGTCAGCCTCGTAACGTTGTGCTGATTTTAAAGTGACATGTCAACCTTCCTCATTCGTGTTTCACATATCATCGATTACCACTGTACGTGGGATTTGCTTTTTTTTCTGTCCAACATTGGGCATACTGAACATGGATCTTGCTACTGATCGTCCAACTGAAAACCCTCTATTTCACTACGGAAATGAATGAGTGTCCATGAGACATCGCATGTCAGATGAAAAGTTCGCTGCAGATGTCCGGCGCACTAGAAATGTCCTGGGATAAATTAAATGCTACAGACAGGTGCTTCGAGAAACCTATTACTGGTGCTGTCTGCACCCCATGAACGAAAGCGGACCTGCTCAACTACACTTGGCGAGCCGAATTTCACACCACATAGAACCACTCTGGATTTTGTTACCCCTTCTTTCAATTGAATTATTACACATTGCTTCGATTCTTCGCTTTCGTTGTTCCCGGGATGGCGCTGCGCCCCTGCGGCCCCATGTACTTCATGCCGCTGTACTTCCCTTCTCCGACTTCGTACTTCGTTCCCTTTCCTACAGCTCACTCTCCAAATCAACGCGACAACAAAGTACACTCTGACTCTGGCCTCAGTGTAACTCCTCTCCTATCACCCGCACCCTCTCAGGACGAGCAGATGTTCCCTCGCGGCCTCCTCGCTGATGGCGGCACCACCTTTCCCACCAGGTGAGTTCACGGTGGGGGGGAATGGCGGTCGGCTGTCCGGACCAACACACGCGCAAAAGCTACGCAAAGTAGCAGCGGCAGCTCGAAGTAATAAAAGCACAAAGTTCCTCGCAAATAAAAGAAGAGGCGGACTGGCTCTTCCTCTCGCAGCCCTTCTCCCGGTTCTCCTCGCCGCTGAGGGCCGACGTCGTAGATAGCAGCCGCTCTGGTGGACCAGCCTGCCATTGTCAGTGGAAGCCAGCGGCGTGGCAGCAGCGGGTCGGTCTCTGGCGGCTCCTCATTTTTCGGCGAGGCATCATCGCCCTCCTCCGTGTCGTCGTCTGCTCGTTCCTCTGGCTGTTCACCGCCTCGTGTGATGCGTGCCCGTGGATAGTGCGTCGCCCTTCTCTGGATGCCCCACCAGGGGCCACGTCGTCTTGCGATGTCGCCCACACCGGCTCGGCCCATGCGGCACTTCACATTCTCGGTGAGTTAATGCTGTGTTTCGGATCGGTTTTCTCGGTGCTTCCAGGCACAGGGTGTACGTGTGTGTGTGTGCGTCCTGCGTGATGGAGAGAAAAAGAAAAAGAGTCAATGTCCCGTGACATCACCCGAGGGTCCATGCCGGATATGCGCTCCGGGGCGCTTTCTCTCTCGCGCGTCCGACGACGTCTACTCGTTCGCAAACACGGGGGTTCACTTTTATTCTTGCTGGTGAGGTTGCCCACCTTGAGGTTTATTGCCAATGACGAACGACCCGTCATCATGCACGCGATCGTTTGTGTTTTTGTTGGGGGGGGGGGGGGGCAACTGAGAAGCCGGACGTCCGGATGTTTTAGAAGTGAAAAGCCTGCAAAGGTATTGGCTGCGCATAACAAAAAGGAGAGAGAAAGAGAATGCATTACAAGGCAAGTGGTTGCGCATTGAAACAGTGGATCACCTTACCGTTCAGGAGATGGATGATTTCACAGCGCACATTTGCCCAAACACGAAGCGTCTACAGTGCCCGCTAAATACTGAATGTCAGGAAGGATGAAGCTCAGCAGAGCCAATAAGCATGTCATGGTGGGCTTAAAACGTGCTAATAAACAGCAGTCCTAAAGATACTTCGTGTTTTGAATAAAGTCTGAGGTACCACCGTTGCAGGTAGTTATATGCAAGTAAACTGCCAGAATGCGCCGATCACGCAGATTTCCAGACCAGCAAGTGCAGTAACTTTGTATATATGCCATATTGACATATCAGAGTATACAAGGCATAAATTTACGGGTGTGCCCAAAATCTGATGTTGCGATATGTTAGCAAAAAGCGTAAAAAGCATTGTTCAGCTTGTAATAGGTGCTACAACGTGGCATTCTGAACAAGTTTCGCTATCTTGCCTCCAGCGCGAAATAGCCGGTGTGAAACCTTCCCTTTTAAAAATTGAACCCTCCACCGCTTCCTATGGCACCTTAATGCTCGAATTAGATGAAAGCGTTTTTATTCAGGCACAGCCACTCCATATTGCCAGCATGGTATGTTCTGTGCTGAGAAGGCGGTCGTCAGTCCATGTGAAAGTCAGTTTTTAAGGTTGAAAGCCCTGATACGTTTTAAAGCTTCCAGGCTGAGATCTTGGCACGTAAGCTTTGCGCCGATGGAAAGACAAGCTTATTCCGATGTCAACGTAGGTAGATCAACTTGAGTGTACCATCAATCTAGACCTAGGCTTTTGTTGACGCACGCAGAAGCCTCGGTTTAGATAAAAAAGAAAAATAGAGGGGTGAAGGGGAGGGGCGATAGTTTAAGGCAGCCGGATGAATATATTTGACAGCTCCGCAGGCTCGACAAATCATCCGTGTATAGGACAGGGCATTTTTCGAAACAGTGTTGTTGTTTTTGTTCAATAAAGTGGGTTCACCAAACGAAAATAAATCTTAAGCTGATTTGAAGCGCGATAGCCAGTCATTGAGATGGTGTACGTTTGTTCCACCGCTGCCATTATTAATCTGCAAACGTTTGTGGGATGTTTTTGCTTGGTATTTACCGTGTAAAGAGCTGTAAGTTCAGAGTGACAGTGTCTTGGAGGGTTTTCAGATTAGGCCATCTTGTTCCCGAAGGCAACAATATGTTGCTATTTGCTGCCACGCACCGCTGAGAACTAGGGCACTCACCATAACGTGGAGCGTCCTTGTTTTATCTGTCTCAGCGATATCTGCAAGTAGACGAGGCTTCTTTTTTCTTGTAATTGTTCATGTTATAGCGTCAAAATAAAGGCAGCGAGTATTTGGAGTGGCACTTGATGGTATACGAGGAAAACAGACTGAAATTCCGGGGAAGCCAACCTTACCAATAATGCGATAGGCTTACATGCAACATTCAAGCTTCTTTGAAGATATCATTATCATCATCATCATCATCATCATCATCATCACCCTGACTACGTCAACTGCAGGACAAAGGCCTCTCCCATGTTCCGCCAGTTAACCCGGTCCTGTGCTTGCTATACCCGCAAACTTCTTAATCTCATCTGCCCACCGAACCTTCTGTCTCCCCCTAACCCGCTTTCCTTCTCTGGGAATCCAGTTAGTTACCCTTAACGACCAGCGGTTATCCTGGCTACGCGCTACATGCCCAGCCCATGTCCATTTCTTCTTCTTGATTTCAGCTATGATATCCTTAACCCCCGTTTGTTCCCTAATCCACTCTGCTCTCTTCTTGTCTCTTAAGGTTACACCTACCATTTTTCTTTCCATTGCTCGCTGCATCGTCCTCAATTTAAGCTGAACCCTCTTTGTAAGTCTCCAGGTTTCTGCTCCGTAGCTAAGTACCGGCAAAGGTACTTAGCTACGGCAAAGGTACTTTGAAGGTATGCTATGCCGCAAATATAGTATGGCTAAATGAAAGTACGAAGAACTGGCAAAGGGCAGTACTTCAGTGGCGTACCCCACGTGGAACGCGAGTAATGGTGAACCAGAGCAGCGGCTGTTTAAAAATGGATCTACCGCTATGGAGAGCTAGGAACGCTCTATATTATTCTGGTCGTCCTAAGCTATATTATTCACGTGCACCGCACCGACCATCTCTTCAAAAAAAAGTCTCGATAACCCTACTGGTTACCTAGGTATTGTCTAAGCCAGTGACCCCGGAACGATTGACTTAGTGCACAAGCGACACGATGCTGTATGAACATTCGACGAGGGACGACTTTGGGAGAGTTCCGCCGTGAACCGCATGTCTCGTCGGGAGCCTTTTATGGCAATACAGCCCGGGAAAACGAGGAAACTACTTGCCGCTTATATACTCCCGAGTGTCGGCACTATTTTTTTGTTGTTGTTGTTGCGTAAGAGAAGCTGAAATCGTTGCTGGGCAACACGATCCGAGCAGGGAACACAGCCTCAATTTACTGTATACTTCATGCCAAATAATAGCATTTCGTGTCCCAACGCAGTTCACGAGCCAACGAAGACGCCGTAGTGCCAAATTTGCCACTGGTTAAGGTTATTATCGAATACGCTCCAACCTAAGCGCATGTTCACGTGGCCACAAGGGCTCTGAACGGAATCTATACGAAGTCGCGGGCTCAGCAGTGGGTGTGAACTATACCTCACCCTTTAAATCAGCTTCAGCACATATTTTCAGCATGTATATAGGCTGCTGCACGTCAATGCTCTGCTGCATGAGTAGGTCTGTCAAAAAGTCGGTGATGGGTCACGTTTCCCATACCTGATTTTTTTAGATGCATAACTGAGCGCAAGTGTCACTATGACTGTAACAAGAAAGCCACACCGTGCTTCTGCCGGATCGGCTTGAGGAGCAGGAAGTAAGTAAACTGTGTTGTTTGCATCACTATTGTAATCCACTCCAAAAGCTTCATTCGGAAGTAATAGGACGTCCGATGTCACTGCAACGTACTAGAAAACAAACTATGTAGCCCTCACGCAGTCACCTTGTGTTGAGAAGCACACAGTTTTGTGACTATAGCTTGTGAACGCGCATCACTTTAGCGTGTCTTATCTCTAGGTTCAGTTCTATTCCTCCCTTTTTTTCCCGTCTTTCTTTTAACATTCAGCACCTCATTTGGCAAGTTCGTCACAATTTGCTGTTTTTTTTCCTCGATGGCATGAGCGCACTTGCCATTCTCGTAGATGTTCTCGCATGTAGTCCGGCAATTGCACACCATGAACTGATGAAGTGCAGATGTGTGCGCGCTGCATGTGGTTGAAGATGGTGCGCGGGGTGTGCTGGCTGCCACCAATGGGGGATTTATTTAAGATCAGATTACTGTAATATATTTTCGACGAGATGCCACCCGATGCGTAGGATATTTCTTATTCCAGGGAGGGGCGTGAAAATAATAACCTAGCTGTAAAGAAGCGCAGGCAAAAAACAGAAGAAAGAAAAAAAAAGTCACATCTATCGAGTGCGCTCTAGGAACCAGTCTGCATGAGATGTATCTTGGCGCCCCAAGTGCCCATCGAGCGCTCGAGGTTGCGTGCACGTAAAGGACGGTGATTTATCGGATCCTTTGCAACACGCGGTGTCCAGACGGGACGCGACCAATTATGCGGGACCATTGAGCGTGGGCCGCACACCACTGCGCGTCGGATTGCATTGAACGCCTTCTTCGAGCTGGGCGTCCTTGCACGCGGCCTGACCATCCGCGTGTGAAATTCCCAGCTCACTCCGGCTCTCGGTCAGTCGCGCTCTTTCGTGCAGTGTGCAGTTCTGAATGTGGCTGCGCGAAAGCGTCCCACAGTGCCGCTCGCGAGTTGGCCGATCATGAATTTTCTGGCGTCGTTGATATATAGCGTCAAGCAAGAAGCCCGCAGCACAGGCATACGTTTTCCCCGGGAATGATGATTCAGAGAAGCCGAAGTCATACTACCTACGCGCGCACGTAGGACTGCTTTATCTCACTTGTCATATGTAAGTTGTACCGGTGAAATGGCGTCTTTTCGTGCACCAAGCCCGCGAAGCAAACTGGGCACCGTTAACTTACCTCAGCGTGGGCGACAGCAACGCATGTCCCTCTTGTGGATGCGATGAAGATAAACAGAGAACATTTCGTGCCACTGTCTAACCTTCAACTATAAACCAAACGCTCCACGTACTACAGTCTCAGCCGCCTAGGTGGCGGGCCCTTCCGAGAAGCAGATATGCTGGGACCTTGGCCGAGGAACTCTGTTACATACCTATTCCCAAGGCCACCAAAGCGCTAATGCGCTATGTTGACTTACGTTAAAACGCTTCTTGAGTGCAACTGGGCTACACGAGAGCTTGTAATTGAGCTAAGATTCTTCTGTGGGCTGGAGAACAGGTGACTCCCCTTGCTGTTATTTGGTTTCTTCCCAAGTGTGTTACGTATGCCAAGCGGGTGCGACATTGGTTAACCTTCCTGCCTTTGCAATTATCTTCTCTTAGGTGTCCCTGTTTCTTGTATCGTTCAGAAAAGGTTAGATAGTGATGCCGGGCAGATGCTGTTGTCCCGTCCAAATCCCCATCCGATAC